ACAAAATAACTAATGGAACTTGTATTTAGGAATAGAACTCGACTCATTAGTTGTCTTAAACTCTTATTTTTAATACAATTTGCTTATTAAATATTCAAGAGATTGATGTTCAATGGTGGAACTTTGACTCCTTCCTCTAAGAAATTCGGATATGAGTAAACTAGTAGGTTGATATTAACATTAAATCCGAAAGAAAATTTGAGTAATTAAATACATGAGAGTGAGATTAAGTGAAATCTAATTTTATTTTTTCTTATATAATTTTTATTTCTTTTACATACCAACATCAACTAATGAAAATATAATTCTTTTGACTAATTTAATTATTAATTGTACTTATTATCATGTATTGCACAAATTCCTTGAAGAAATAATAATTACTTACTATTAATTACTTGTGCGACTAATATGTTTAACAAAATCGCTCAACACTTGACCCCCAAAATTCAATGTAATATTTAGTAAGTTTAATTTTGAGTTGGTGATATGAAGCCAAATCTTCAAATCAAAAAACCTGACCAAGACATTTGTAGCTTTTGAACATTATGAAGGACAATTTTATTCATTAAAGTAGTAGTATAAGAATTACATATCTTATTCAAACTCATGATGTTATAGAAGTAGTGTGATATATTCTTAGTTACACAATTATATTGTACAGAAGCCTAAAACCAGGAAGCATATTAAAATAAAAGAAGTATATATATATTGGATGATGATGATAATATAAGAATGTAAGTATGAAAGATTAATTGCAGTGTGGTAGATGTTATGGACGTCCATGGGTAGCGCCTTGAGGTGATGGTGGGCCGTAGGCAAGAGTGCCGGCAGCTGGCGGCTCATTTGCCCACCGTCCCAAGGGATCTGGTTCAATTCCAAGACTTGCCCTGCACATGCATGTATCATGTTTATATGTCAACACATTTTATTTTATCTCTTAATTACTATACATTCATATTATATGATATGCAACATACCCGATCCTATTCGTTTGGAGCAAGACAATAACCAAACACCAAAACCACAACACCTTCTTCATTCTTTCTATCATTTCCCACTCTGTCCAAGCTCATGTGCTTCATAAATTAAGATCACAATATATATAGAATTTCATTCACAATTTTCACATTAAAAAGTCAAGATTCTAGTTAATTTATAGGGTATGATAGATAAGTATCTTTAAGAAAAAAATGAAATCAACTTGTCGAATTAATAAGATAATTTGTAAAAAAAATCTTTTTATCAATTTCTGCAAAAACTTTGAGAAAAAAAACTTTTTATTTTTTTATTGTTTGAAGTTTTGGGAGAAGATTATTTCTCCACCACTTAAAAACTTTTTTCCACGGTCCACGACCTCCTTTACAAGTTGTTTTGCATACGTAATCCAAGTTTTTTTTTACAAATTATAGCATTGTCTTTTTTATTTTATAGTTGTGTACATTAATTATGAGTAATTTTTTTTACAGATAAAAGAGAGAAAAAGGAAGAGATGAGTATACGATAAAAGTCATAAAATAACTAATGTAACGAACATAAATAAATTAATAGATTATAAAACTGTTGTGAAAATTTGGGACAAGAATCCATTTCCATTATAGTCTTATGTTTATTTTTTTTTTATAAACTTTTTTCTCTTTCTATCTTAAGACTTGATATATTTCTTATTTTTCTCTCTTTATTTCTCTTACTTGAAAGGGTGTTAAAATATGTTTTGTTTGAATCTAAAAAGGCGAGTAAGTAAGCAAGTACACAAGTCTAAATGGACTACAAATATTATAATGCACCCTTACAAAAGGCTTAAGTTTCTAAAACTTAAAACCCTCAATTACGTACAAGCTAAATAAGATTTTGCGCCACGCTCGAGCAAAAGAAAATAAATGAATAAATAACATATACTTCATGCGTCAAGCTTAAGCTACCCAATCTAAAGGCCAGACCTTAAATTTTAAATTTTTTCTATGATACTTCCAAGTTTGTTCCTCCTACTAATTCTTTCGCTCTCAGTTTCACAGTTTCCAACAAATTAAAACCCATTGAAGAATATATATATATTTTTAGAAGAGAGAAAAGAAATTCATTCAATACCTTATGTTTTATGTTAATTTTTTTAAGTATTATTCAGTACTTATAAACTTGTTAAGATACATAATGAAAGTTCACATGAGATTTTATTGTTAATTACTAAAGAATATATATTTGCGTCAATCACGTAACAAATCTCTCTTAAAGGTATGACATGCCCCGATGCCATGGATATGAAGACATCTCTTTTTGGCTCAAGTTTTTAGCATTTATATATGAAATAAATTTTCCATAAACATGTTTTGTATTTATCTTTGTTTCATTTTGGATGCAATCAGGAAAGTTTAATTAATTTTTATAATTAAGTATCTTTTAGAGTTTGGTTGATTTTATCTATATATTTTTTCTTTTTTATTTCCTTAATTAGGTAAGAAAAATCTATAAATATTAATTTGTGCAACAACAATATGCAGCGAGATCGAAATAGATAGGGACCAAATGTTTGAGCAGATTGAACTTCTTATAATGAGTATTGTTGCCAAACCTAGCAGATTAGATCACAAATTTACTCCTTTCAGGTTTTTCCACTCAACATGCTGTTATGGTGGTACCATCATTTGTGACCTATCTAATCATGCACCACTTTTATGTGTTGTTAATTTTGTGCAATTCTTAAACATCGACAGATATTCATTTTTATCAGATTATATTATTTGTTTTCCATTTTTTTTTCTTTTTAATCTTTATATCTCTCTTTTCTTTCCACAGTGTGCACAATTGTCAATTTTTATTCTTAAATTGTTATTTAGAACCTAAAAGGCTTGGTGGAGCAACGACCCAGTCCAACCCAAGGGGGAGAGTTTAATTTTTTTAAAATATTTTATTTGGGCAATGCGAAGTAGTTATATTAATTATAAAGGAATAAAATAGCAAAATTGGCGTTTACTCTTCACATGGAACAATTTTGTAAAATAAATAAACAAATAACATCAGTGACACTCTTGGGTTGGGATATTATTTTAAACACAACCTGACTCAACCTAAGTTAGCTAGAAGAAATTATTAGACTGTTATGGTTTCTACTATTATTTTTAAAAATTGTAAAATTTGAATATATAATATGTAGATATTGGTGTAGCATGTAGAAGAAATTATTATTATTAGACTTTTAGTGTTAAGGTTCATATATCTAGTGTGTACAACATGAATAATGTACTTCCTGGCTTCAAGTTTTTAACTTGAAAAGTAGAAAAATTCCGTTTAATGCTTCTCAAACACTCCTAATCTCTTATAATAATGTACTCCCTCCTTTTCAAGACAATAAATTGGAACTTTGCTAGCTTGACTAAGTCACATTATCATTGACTTCGATAGCTTACAAAGTCATATATAATTTTTACATAAAATTCTAAATTTTAAATTTTATTATCTTGTTATTAGCAAATTTAATAACTTAAGTGACTATGTATTTTACTAGTAGTATATATCAAATACTAATTAGTATAAACTAAAAGTTGTAATGATTTTGACATAAATAATTATTTGTCAATTTTAAGTTGTAATTATTTAAATATATTCAAATATTTCAACATAAATAAATTTAAATATTGTCAATAAAGTTGACGTCAATTAAGTTGTCGTGTTCACATACTTAATTTAATTTTTTTTAAAATTTAATAATGTCACTAATTGGGAAAATGTCTTCTCTGTTCTTGCTAAGTTAGTTGACTTGTTCTATTTTAAAAAAACAAATTATAAAAATAAAAATAATAAATAATAATAATAATAAAATATTTTGCGTATGCATGAATTTATTCAGGAATTTAAGTATTTAACCCCAAAACCGCATGTTCTTTTTTATCCATAAAATATAATTACCTTATTATTTTTATTTTACTTAAATACAAGGCAGTGTATATGTTTGTTAAAAATAGTTAATAAATAATAAAATATGTATGTTAGATTGAGAATAAATAGAGAAAAAAAAAGAAATAAAAAGATGTAGGATCTACTGCTTTAAATTTCTTCGCTCAATTGTGAAGAAATGAAGAAAGTCAGTTATGCAAATTTTAAATGATAAATGATTATTTAATCAATTAATATTTATTTTTTTCCCTTGAAAGTTGAAACAGTAACCATAACTACCATTATGCTTTAATACAGTGAATCACCATTCGCTTTAATACGATTTTCATAATCGGTTAAATCAATTTTTATATATTTTTAAAATTTATCTTATCAGATTTACTTATATAAAAATCATTAAATATGACTAAATTTAAATTAAAAAATTATAAATATGATAAAATGTATATAAAAAAAATTAAAAGACTGTTAGATATTAAAATATATATATATATACAATTTTATTTTATTTTTTTATTATTTATAAAACATATTTTTTATATGATTTTCATTATGTTATACTTTGTATGAATTCAAACATCAATTAAATTTATAATTTAATATAATTGAATAAATTATTACAAGTTTTATGTTTTCAATTTTTTTAGAGATTTCATGTCTTCAATTAATTAAAAATTAATCCAAAATTATATTATAAAATTAAACATTATTATTATTTTAAGAGGATTAAATTTTATAAATAAAGAATCATAATAAATATTTTAAAATATAAAAAACTAAAAAAAATTATAAAAATAAGATAAAAAAACTTAAAAATATAATTCAACCTAAAGAAAAAAGACACATTAAGGATTAATATTTTATGTCAATAATTAAGCAACGACATGAGATAATTAATTAAAAGATGACAAATTTTTTATTTTAAAAATTGTGAGAAAATATATGATTTTAAAAGTGAATGAGAAAATTGACAAAAACAATATATAAATGAAATAGTTTTAATTATGAAGAATTAAAAAACATAGTAGTATCGTTTTGTGGCAGTGACTAGTGAGCAGCAGCAATGAAAATGAAGCATGATCCTCCAACTCCATGGGACAACCAATAAAGCATGACACGTGGAGGTCTCATGATCTTGAATTCAACCAGTGGCGCATTTTATCATCACCCGCCCCTTCCGCCGCCCCATCCTTCTGACCACCAAACACACAACACAACACAAGGCAACAAAAACACATTAAAAACATGTTACTCTCCATCTCCCCGCCACCCTCACTTACCCTCCACCCCAATGCGCACTTTAGCCCCTCCATGTCCATCCTACGCCGCCTCCACCTGAACCTCCGCACCCGCATCCGCCCCCGCCGCCTCGCCACCGTCTCCGCCGCCGTACGCCAGGACACCACCCTCTGGACCCCCGCCCCGCTCTCCGAGGTCGAGCCCGCCGCCGAGTCCCTCTTCCACGTCTCCATCGACCTCTCCGACGCGCCCGACCTCGCCGCCTCCCACACACGCGCCGGCCAGTACCTCCAGGTCCGCGTCCCCCACGCGCCCAAGCCCTCCTTCCTCGCCATCGCCTCGCCACCCAAGCTCGCCGTCGCGCGCGGCGTCTTCGAGTTCCTCGTGAAGAGCGTGGTGGGGTCCACCGCCGAAGCGCTCTGCGCCTTGAAGAGAGGGGATGTCGTCGAACTAAGCCAAGTCATGGGAAACGGATTCAACATCGAACAGATCGACCCGCCCAAGAAATTCGAAACCGTTCTCGTCTTCGCCACTGGATCTGGAATTAGGTTAGTTCTGCTATTCATCCCCAATTTCGGTTACATGCTAGTAAAATTGTTTACGTTTTTTATAGATATTGAATATATGTTGTAACAAAATCATGCTAAACGGGGATCTAGGTTTTAAATTGCTGTTATTGATTACAAGACAGTGTAGAAATGCTTTGCACTTTAAGTGTTTGAAATGGTTTCTCTTGTATGCATTGCAGCTATTAACAATAATGCAATGTGCTATTAATGCTTGGTTTTCGATCTATGACTTGGGTGGATAAGTTTCTCAACACTTCTAAAAGAGAAAAATACAAAAGAAAATTAAGATACACTTCTTCATAAACAATAGAGAAAAGTTTCTATAAATTAGCTTATACATAAACTAATTTGTTTTCCTTCATACTTTTTTCTTCTAGAAATGCTTCTTGAGTAGCTTATCCAAACGGACTCTTACTCATTGAGGTATTTGTATCGCTTTTTGCTTCGTTTTGTGCAGTCCAATTCGGTCCCTAATTGAGTCAGGATTTGACGCTGGGAAGAGGTCTGATGTGAGACTATATTATGGGGCAAGAAACCTTCAGAGAATGGCTTATCAGGTTAGTTTACTTGTTCGTTTGCTTCATGATAGGGAAGGTTTAACTACTTGCAATCAGAGCTTGCTTTGATAACAGTGTTCTTTTATGTTATAGGATAGATTTAAAGACTGGGAATCTTCCGGTGTGAAGATTGTGCCTGTATTATCTGAACCAGATGAGAGTTGGACTGGTGAAAGTGGCTATGTCCAGGTAAAGTCTGTGGACACATAGGATTATGATTCACATTATTAGTTTCCCAAGGTAAAGATTGTTTACGTCCGTGATTATATTCACAGGCTGCATTCACAAGAACGAAGCAAATATATAACCCACTGGCAACTGGTGCTGTACTTTGTGGACAGAAACAGATGACCGAGGTACACTAGTAGAGCTAAGCTTACTTGCCTGTCTGTTTAATTATGAGACATGTATTTGTTGTCCATTTGTACTACCTTCCAGTCAATTGCCACTTTCTTTCCTAGTTAAGTTATTGGAAGAAACCTGTATAAAGAATGAGAGGAAAATATAATAAATGGTTTGAGAATACCAAACATACTAGGAATAGCACTCTCAATTAGAGAGAATAGCACTAACCTGTCAATTTGGGATCCAATTCGGTATTTTCCTTAGGAGGTATCAGAAAGAAATTGGAATGTAATAATATTGATTCATATAGATACAGAAGAAAGGGATTGTTCTCTATTGATTCAAACACTACCTACGAAATAGGGATGAAGATAGAGGAAAAAACTGAAGATTTCACATAGTACTTTGGATCAAAAAATCAATCCAATTTATTTCATACTTTTAAGTCAATGATAAAATGGGTCAGATTTACAGGATCAAACTTTGTGGGAGTTAAGGAATGATAGAAGAAAATAAAAAAGAAAAATAAGTAAATAAAAATGTTGTAAAAGAGTCCCAATTCCAAACTAAAAACTCAAACTTACTGAAAAATATCTTTTTGATTATCAAAGAATAGGGACAAAAGGATTGATCAAGAAAAAATGAGCATATAGGTTGTTAACTCTTTCCTTCTTGGGTAGAGCCATTAATATAAATTAATGAATAAAATTGTAAATAATTATAGCAACTAAAATTTAAAACAATCAGTTAACTAAAAACAAATGAATTACTCAATCTGCTGGCGTGCTAATCTCCATAAGTCAGGCATCATGTTCGTTACTTTCTGCTAGTTCTTATTCTCCTTTTCTGCCTTCGATTTTTTTTTTCCCCCAAACTTATTGAAACAGTTGTGCAACTAATATAAAATTAGGCGTATAAGAGAAGTTGGCGAAATGGCTTTATTAATCAAGATGGGATTCGGGGTCATCCGTGCACGTCAGCAATCGATGTGACTTTAAACTAGAATCAATCAAATAGGATTTGGTTATTGTACATAGGAATCACTTGTATATATGGAACGGGTTATTGTAGCATATTATTATGTGGAAATGTGTTCGTTGATTGCATGAGAATGAGAGAGAGAGAGAGAGAGATTGTTCCCGAGTCTCTTGGGAAATGGATAATATTGTTCAAGTTATTGTCTACAATACAAAAAACTACTAGATCTGTTACCTATGTTGCTATGAATTTTTGTAGCTCAAGTATTTCCTACAATGCTATTATGCAGTGAGAAGTGCTGACAACACTACATTTTTTATTGGATAAAATCTACATAATGTAGGTCCATTCTTGTAGTGGGGTAGCATGGGATTTCATACAGTAACGGGGAGTGTCGAATATTGCGTTGCTAGAGTTGTTTTTTTTTTTCATGTCGTGGTTCCAATGCATGATCCTTGATATATTATTGTTGCAGGAAGTGACATCAATTCTTGTTGCTGATGGTGTATCCGCTGATAAGATATTGAAGAACTTCTGACCAAAAATGGAATATGGGCAGTGTTGTATCATTTTTGAATTTGAATTATACTCAATAATTATTTGTTCATTGCCTTTGCTGAGGATATAGTATCTCAGCGTGGAATGTACAATAAAAGAACAATTTTGGATATTAGAATATCCGGCCCTTGATCACTTTCGGGGTGGATCCAAACATAGGACGGGAATACCTGGCTTAAGAAAGTTGGAGAACTTCCAATGGTTAAGTCGTTGCACTCTGTTACAAAGCCAATCTTTTGGTTTACGAGTGCCTGTATTATCAATGCAGCAAGTCATCATATATTGACATTATGGTTGACAAGCAATCGAGCTGATTTTATTTAAACTTGACTCGCATAGCTTCCAACTGTCTTTTTAATTATATCGTCAGTGAAATAAGTGTTAACGTAAATTAAATGGAAACATGATGATTGATAATGTTCTTTTATAATATTCTTAAAAATAACTACAAAAATACTAAGCCAATTCATAAATTAAAGAATTGAACATTTGCAAGTTAGGCTTCTTTAATATATCACTTATATTTTAGCTCATTGAATCCAGAACTGAAATATGAAGGTCCTTATCATACAATCACATAAGATGGTAAATAATATATTCGAACTAAAATATATTTTACTATCTATGTATAATTATTATATAATTAAAATAACTTTTAATGCCTTATCAAATATACATGTCAAGTATACATTTTGTATGTCTTCACCTGTTCGTTCCGCTTTGATGACTCCATGAGAATGCCAGCTTTCAGAAATTGTGTATTAATATTGAATTCGAGGAGATTTAAACTTTTATAAGATAAAAGGAGGGCAAACAAACAACAAAACTCCATTACGCAAAATAACTAGTGAGATCATCTAACAATCTGCTCACAACCACACGGAAGTCTTCCATGCAAATATATACCTTCTGTACTAATAAGTTGTGCAAAACAAAAAAAAAAATCAATAACAAGCTAACTTGGCCATGCAACCTGCAACTCGAGTATTCTTTTTGTAACTTTCGAATGCAACTATTTATAGCTGAATAAGGATCAAATTAATGTCACCGTCCAACAACGAGCCAAGCGAAGTTTCAACAGTATATAACTGCCCACAATATTACATTCAACACAAATAATGAAATTGTTCCTCTAACTTTAATTTGAATATCAGAGTCACCTGCCAATTCCAGTAAAGAACCACGATAAACAGATAACATAACAGATTCTAAAAGTCAAACAATTTGATCATTATTTTCAGTTTCATGATGACCACCATCCTTCTCGGTTTCAGTTTTGTCTAACTCCTCGTCATGCTTTCCATTGGATCTTGGGGAGTGCTGCTTCATGTGATTTCTCTCATCGTCCAAGTGGTGCCTATGTTTGTGGTTGTGATGGTGGTGACGGCGATGATGGTGATGGTGACTAGACTTTTTATGCATTAACTTTTTGCTTTCTTCTTCAGAATTTTCTTCAGATGACTTTGATCTGCTTCTTCGGCCATGACTGTGATAATCAGAATCAGATGACCTAGGCTCCACATTATGTGATCGCTTGTGATGTTTATGGTGCTTCCTGTGGCCCTTCTTACGGGGAGCATCATCACTTTGATCACTTGACAAGTCAGATTCACAAGATTCTGTTCGTCGATGGCGTTTACTATGCTTTCCATGATTTCTTTTTCGAGCCAGACTATCTCCTTCATCAGCAGAGAAGTCTGATTCACTAGATTTTGATGGGCGTTGCCGTTTGTGCTGCCTTCTTCTCTTGCTGACTTCATCAGCACTAAAATCAGAGTCACTGGAATCTGATCTTGAACCTCGATCCCTCAGCTTCTTGCTTTGCTTCTTCTTTCTTCTCTGCTCCTCCTCAGAACTACTCTCAGAATCATCACTACTGAAATCACTAGACTCTGACCATTTCTTAGTTTTATGTTTGGTACTTTTCTCTTTCCTTTTCTCATGTTCACCGGAGTCATAGTGAGAATGCTTCCTGTGCTTCCTATGAGATCTTTTACTTGTCTTTCTACTCTCATCATCACTGTCATAATCACTGTCATCATCAGAGCCTGATCTTTTTTTATGCTTTGAAGCCTTCAGCTTCCTCTCTTTAGCTTCAGCATCAGCCTTGGCCTTAGCAGCAGCTTCCAGCTTCTGCTCCCATTTCAAAGGAGCTTCCTTCCTCTCCATAATTTTCTTCTTCTTCTCCTCAACCAGCTGGATAAACCGTTTCGTGTCCATTTATATTCAAAAACCAACTCAAAAACTGCATTTTGATAAAATGATGACCGGAAGTGCATCTCACAGAAGAGAAAAATCAAAGTTAGTTCTACGATCAAATAAAATCATTATAATGCATATTTCAAAATATTAGACAAACTAAAAATGCCACTTCTCATTTCTTACATGTTATCCATGCTTTCAATAAGAAGAGAAAAAGAACTTGCTATCAAAAGGAAACAGCATAGCAAAAAAAAATGACAAACATAACATATTAAGATCTTGCTCTCCTCTTTCAGATAAATCAGTCAAAAGAACATTCAATAAACAACCCTTCAGCCATGTATCTACTCAGTCATAAACTCGTAATGTAGGTTTAAATTTAAAAAATAAAAATAAAAAAGCAAGGGGGGATAGAAGGGTCCAGTGTTGTATGAGTGTTTGCAGCCAAACAGGGGGGCTTGCTGAAAGAACACACGAGAGATTAGGAGTCAAGTTGCTGAATGTTTGCGACTTGTGCTTGATTGTCTGAGAAGATAAATTTTCGTGTACCAAAGAATGCTATATCATCACTAATATTCAAGGAGCATTTTCAGGTTATTTTTAATGTTTGTTTAGGGCCTGAATGGGATAGTTGGGTTAAGGGCTTTAAAAATTTGGGCCTGGGTCAGAATAACATGAGGGTGTGCATTACAACAAGTGAGGGTTGGTTCAAACAAGAACAGCAAAAGCCAAAAAAACAGGACACCACATAAAAACGGCCAGCAAAGCCCACCACACCGCCACCATTGAATGGCAGCCAGTGAGAAATCTGCCATGGCCGCTTTCTAAAAACACAGTTTAGCACCATCTTTAAATGCTAAAACCAGGATAACATAAGACAATTTATCCAAATATCTGTACAACTGATGTGCATTTAATGTTTCTTCTAGTAGGAATATGTCCTTGTTCAAAATATCTATCTTTCAATGTAGATGAATTACTAATGCAAGCTCATGCATTACAAGAAACCCAATAGAACTTAAAAGAAATCAAAGTCAAATAGCATCCAGCAACATAACAGCATCTATCTTATTCAAGACGAAGGGGGAATGTATAATATGGAAAATCCTTGCTAGACAAACATTTCCATCAATTTAGATTTCCATTGAAAAAACATTTTTTTCCTAAACCCTATGTAACGTTCAGAAGGGGGAGGGGGGGGGGGGCCCTCCTATCATACAAGAAAATTGAATGCATCTCATCATCAGCAATTAGTTTGCTTGGATAACACCTGAGAAACAATTCCACTCTCCAAAATCATGCCATGAACGAAAATAAAAAATTGATTATTTCTCGCCATGAGAGCAACCCAAACATATCAATATTTGCAGTGAAACATATCAAGTTAGTGGATGTTGTGAAAATGGTAAAATCACGCTAGTTTATTTTTCTTTATATATTGATGATAAACCAGGGTATAAGAGAGATAGATTTCGATGGATATTCTCTCCTTCCTTTCTTACCTTATATGTGAAAGAGCAGACACCCGGTAGCAGCAATCTACCCCAAATCCAGTAATAATTGACTGTAAGGATAAATCTGCGTCAATCAAATGAAATCAATAGTTGCTAACTAAAAAGAAAAATCGAATCTGAGAAAGCGTAAAAGGGAAAGGGGAGAAAGAAGATGCAAAGAGGATTGAAATAGAGAGAGTACCTGAAGGAAGAAGCAGAGGAAGAGATGAAGGTTGGAAGTTAGGGTTAGGGTTGGGGGTAAGGCTTGCTGCTTGCTCCTCCCTTCCAGAAAGGTCTTATGAAGAGAAACGTGTCTTTGTGATACATAACACAATTTATACACGCTTTCGGCTTTTCTCAAATCTTGAACCGGACCGGATTCTTTCACGCGTTTAAACCACTTGGTCGGTGACCACGCGGACGCGGTCCACACCATAAGGACCTTTGACTTTTAGTACTCCTTCCTTTTTTTTCATAGTCGTTTAAGGTTTTGCACCGGACTTAAAGAAATTATTGATATTTTTGTTTTCAAAAATATTTATTACTTACTTTCCTATTTTACCCTCTTTTTCTTTTTGCATTTTTGAGACTGTTGAACTGCAATTTACTCCATTAATTATTAATGCATTGATTATACGTAAATTGTAACCTACTGTATTTAATTATACATGTCCATGAATTAATGATTATATTGTTTTTTTATAGTATTTTGTTGGGAACATATTGCTTTTATAAATGCACATTAATTTTATATGGGTAGTTAAAAAAGAAATAGGTAAACATTAAAAATAAATACACACATTATTCAGTAAGCATGTATTAATTATCAAGGGTAAAAATAGAAAAAAAAAATTAATAAGTCATTGATTTTAGTAAAATGACAATGAAAAAATAACAAATTCTGACAAAACGACTATGAAAAAAAAAACGGAGGGAGTATTTCTTTTAGTTCAATTCTAAAACTTAAATATAGCTCTTTTTACAGCATTTAAATATAGTTTTTTTTTATTTTGAATTTAAATTTAATACATGGTACTCTTCAAATTTTTTAAATTTTTATTTATACTATTAAACTAAAAAAATATAATTGATATTTAATTTTGTGAAATGATAGGTATTAATATTCATAAAATTATCACAATTTGTTACATTTTGTGGTAGTTTCAAATTACTATACATTAATTTAAGAGACTCCATGTTATTTTAAAACATAAGCACTTATTAAAAAAAATTACAGTTTTGAGATTTAATTAAAAATTTTAAATATATTATAAAATTAACTATATATTAAATCGTCAAATAAGGGATAAATAAAAAAATTATTTAAATAAATTAGATCAAAAATTTCATATTTGTGAAATTATAAAAATCAAGTCAATGTTTTGAGTTTATTTAAAAGATAAAGTGACTTTTTTTTGTTGTATGCTAGCTCTATCAAAACTTAAAATTGATATTTTAAAAATTGGATTGGTTATCAAATCGATTAAGATATTAAGTTAATTGGTTACAAATCAATCTTATAAGTCACTAATTAAATCACATGATTGGATATTTATTAATTTTTTAAAATAAATATTTATATCATATATATATTTCATACTTATAAATTTCAAAAAAATTCATATAGTGTATGTAAAAATTCAATAAAATTCACATGATATCCTAAAAAAACGTGTAATAATTACAATATTAACTAAACAATGCTAGTTAAACTACATAAGTTATTTAAACCAATTGTATAATAATAAAATATGTTGGTTCAGTTGTCACTAAGGTAATAAATAATCACATTTACATAAGTTCAAGTTTAATATTTGAATAAAACATAATATATATATATATATGTGTGTGTGTGTGTCTATGCTATGGTGGTCTCCTACTGATGAAAAGTCTCATAGACGGATGTCGAGACCTTTATAGGGAAGATAAACGAATCACTTAGACTTTTTCACACCCTCATGCTTGAGCTTATAAGACTATGTATCGTGCTAATCTCTCATATACTAACTATATCTGTCATCTGTTAACTAACACCAAGTCTCTAAGAGATCGATCTGTACCTTATTTTCTCATAGTTCGACTATTTATCACTTATGCGAAGGATGGTCGAGTATTTAAGCCAATGATGAGATCTCATGATCTTTAGAACGAGTAAGATAATGATCATAAATATCAAAATTTATAAGTCTATTAATGACAATAATGATATGACATGATTTACGGGATTGTAATAAGAAATAGGAAATTTGTGTCTATAACGTCACACTAATATAAATAGAGACAACTAGGTCTAATAAAGACAAAATTTACACTTACCAGATGCTCTAAATTTGAATAATCTCTAGGTCTTCCTAAAGGAAATTATGTACTAGAACTCTAGAACTATAATGTTTTTATGGCATGCCTAGCCACATTATTTTTTAAATAATTTTATATGATATTTAAAAGGAACAAAACAAATACGTTGAGTTAAATAAGTTTAGTATCTTCCGGACCTTATTTTCACTAGTTTGACTTAACTCGCTTGAATTGTTGGACTATCCCATATTGATGGTGGTTCCCTTTCTCTTGTTCTAATTTTTTGTTTTGAAATTTTTTTCTTCATTTTCTCCTTCTTACTTTATCTTCTTTACTCTTAAATTAACTTTTTGCCATTTTGGTGGGCCATCATGATGGAACCACATTGTACATGTCAAGATTGTAAGTGTGCACAAGGTAAGTATTTTCATTCAACATGGTTTATTTTTATATTTGAGTATATAATTCAAAACTTTAATAATTTGATTAAGTGATATAGGACACTATCACTTGTGCCAACCAATATTATTAATACTAGCAAGAAAAAGGCACTCCGTACTTGCATTGTATTAAAAGAAAAAAATTGAGAAGTTACTCATAAAAAGTAGCAATTATTGAAAATAAAAAAATAAAATGATCCATGTAAAAATGAAAATCAAAAGTAATTATTGAAATTTGTATCTCTTATATATTAGTATAAATTCATTAATTTCAAGTTCTTAAATTTGATTAATAAATATTTTGTCTAATTTTTTAAAATAAAAAGGTATAATGGTAAAAAAAAAGTGGAAACCAAGGTGGTTACCAAAAAGTGTATCCCCTTTATATATTATTATGATGATAGATTAAACCATATGAGTAAACTTTCACCTTCACTTCAATAAAAAAAATAGGTATCTATTTTTTAAGTCATACTTGTAATTTCTCTTTTGCATAAACTCGTGATTGTGTTTTATTACAAGACCATTTTCATCTTGGTCTTATGCCTCATTGACACACATATATAAATATGAGACATCTACTTACTTTACTCATTGATTTATATTCTATATCAAACTTCAATAATCAAACTATTGAATTAAAATTATTAGTGTATATATCAAGTCAACGATTTTTTAAATTTTTTTTAAAATCATATGATACTTTTTATATAAATTTAAATCAATGTATAAAATAATTTTATGATTATCTGTCAATTTGAAATAATGAAATAAAATATCAAATAATTTTTATTTTAAAAATTTATAAATTTGATCTATGCATTAAAATTTTTAATTGAACTGTTAGATAATCAAAATTTAATATAAAATTAAATAAAATAAAACTATAAAGACTTACTTTTATAATATGTGAACCTCTCCCATATATATATATATATATATTATAATCATTTTCCATTTATTAAATTCCATGTGTTAAAAATCTATATCTATATTATAATTCATTATCAATTGTTGTAAAATAAAAGTTTAAATATATTTTTCTTAAATTTAGGGTAAATTTATTTTTACTCTCTCAAATTTAAATTTATTTTTTAATGATATTAATTTAATTTTTTTTGTTTTAATCCTTCATGTGACTAATAACATATGTAAAAGTGATTGATCGAGACAATTATGCACTATCAACTCAAATTAATATGTTGTTTTCACTAAAAAAGAGATGTGAGTATTTGACAAATTATCTAATAAAATTTGAATATAATAACTAAAACAAGATATTTTAAAATTATAAAATTCTTATTATTTTTTTAAATATGAGAGATTAAAAATAAATTTATCTTAAAATAATGTTTAGGAAAAAAAACGAATATAAAATATGAAATAAAAATTATAATTATAAATTTGAAAATTAATAAAAAAATTAGAAGGCTAATAAGAAAATAACAACATTAATAAATAATTTTACACTGAAAATAATAAAAATAACATAAAAAAATATATTTTTTAGGCGACAAAATTCTTCACCTCGCATAAACTTAATCGTTAAGAATGAAATGTCCACCTTGCTTAGACGAATAGATTTAATTAATAATTAACTTTGAAAGGATGGCTTCTGATTTCAGCGTGAATGTCCGAATCTCAAAGCTCTCATACGGGGCATCGCATTTGATTGGCCGGTGACAGCAACACAACACCGAGAGAGGAGGGTAGTTAAGAATCGAGAGCTCATAAAAACTGGTTATCCACCACGCGACGGTGTAATTAGACTTTCTGGAACCTTCCCCGAGCCATGGCCGCGTCGCCGTCGTCCTCCACCGCGGCGAACATCATGCTGGCGATCTTTGAGAAGAAGACGAACAGCGTAGATCTGTACCGTCCTCTCCGGAACTACGTGGCCTTCCACTACTCCGAGCGGGAGGCCCAAAACCTCGAAGACGATCTCCAAACCCTAAAGCAACTCCGCTCCGACCTCGAGCGCCACTCCGATCCCTCCCTCCCGGCGCGCCGCGACCTCCTCCAAACCTACTTCAAATCCTTGTGCCTCGTCGAGACGCGTTTCCCTATCTCCTCTGACCCCGACCACGTCAACGCCCTCACCTTCGTCTGGTTCGACGCCTTCAAGCCGAAGCAGAAGGCCTCGCAGCAGAACATCCACCTCGAGAAGGCATCCGTGCTCTTCAATTTGGGCGCCGTTTACAGTCAGATTGGACTGTCGCATGATCGGAACACCGTCGACGGCCGCCGCCAGGCCTCCCACGCCTTCATCGCCGCCGCTGGCTCCTTCGCCTTCCTCCGCGACAACGCCTCCATGAAGGCCTCCGTCGGCAGCTCCACCACCGTCGATTTGTCCGTCGAGTGCGCCGGCATGTTGGAGAAGCTCATGCTCGCGCAGGCTCAGGAATGCGTCTTCGAGAACACCATTGCCAAAGGGAGCACCCCCGGCGTCTGTGCCAAGATTTCTAGGCAGGTCCGGCGCTAATTGAATAGTGAATCGTGTATATGACGCGTTGTTTTGTGCGAATGCTGCTAATTGTTTCACTACTCTGATCACTGAGTGTGTGTTTGAGTGAGCATAT